CTGCCCAGCCGCTACGTGTGTGGCAGGCAGCAAAGTCTGTGGTGGGGACCGTGAGGACAGGTGTGAGGAGGACTGCGGGGAGCTGGGCAGAGCTGAGTCCCAAAGGCCGTGCTCTCTGTGTTGAACTCAGGGCAGTCACTTGGCCCATCTGTGCCTCAGTTTACATAGTTGTAAACTGTGCATTATGGGACAGCACTTTCGGCCCACGAGTAACTGTGAGGAGCAAAGGGCATGAGAGCCGAGCCTTGCTCTGGGGTGTGGGTGTTCCTGTGATGAAGCCAAGATCAACCCTCACCTTGGCAGGAGTCAGCTCCCACCCTGGCTTACTTCCTATTTATCATTGTGAATTTATAGCAAAGCAATAGATAAACAACATTTAAAGTCTCCAATTATGAGGGGCCAGGAGGCAGTGCAGTGATAATGCAACTGGACCCACCTGGGGAAGGTTCTGGGTTTGAGTCCCTGACCTTCCCTGAACAAGCACACCGGGCCTGTGCGTGCACTTGTGAGTCAGGCTGGCTGAACCTGGGGGTGGATTGCAGCGTGAACATCCTGTTAGGATGCCTCTCTCTCAAAGAAAAAAAAAATCTTTAAAAGTCTTAAGTCATTAAAAAAAAAAATACACATGTACCCCTTTCCTACAGCAAAGATCCAGGAGAAAAAAATACCTTAAGTCTCACTGGCTGTATTGTGTGTGTTTGCCTCCTTTGTCTAAATAACAGGCTTGTGTTACAACTTTTTATTTTTAAGCTCTGCACAATATCTATCACTACCCTTCCTGGAGGAGAGGATTTAGTTCTCTAATATCCTTCCCACGGCAAACGCAGTTATATCACTGTCCCTCCTTGTGGAAAACTAACGTTGATCGCTTAAGTTACGCATGTGTCAATGTCATTCATGGCTGAGCCTCCAGTGCCCTGTAATTATATTCTTTTCTTCTGGAACTCTGTTCCACCTGGATGCAATAGGACTCGTTCCCCCCCCCACCTGTTCTCTAGTCAGGTGCTTATCACTCTTCTATAGAAATTGGCATTTCGGGGCCAGCAGGTGGCGTAGTGCTTAAGACATTGGATTCCCAGGTGGTCAACCATGGTTTGAATCCCTGACTCTGCAACTTGAAACTTACACTGGATGTGAGTGTGTGCATGCCCCAAATCCCAAGGAGAGAATGGATAAGGGATTGTGGTACGGCCCTCCCCCTTGGGGGTGATTTCTCACTTTCTGTCTCTGGCTCTCCAGCAAGTGCATGTACCCTATAGCAGAAAAATGCTCAATAAATAAATAAATAAATAAATAAATAAAAGAAAAAAAAAGTTAAGAAATTGGTTCTTTTCTCCTTTTTTCTCTTTTCATTGTCCTCTGGAGCCCCCTTTCTGTCCAGGGAGGCAGGGGGTAGGGGGAGTGGTATAACGGTGTCCTCTCAGGGTTCCCTGTCATCACCCTGGCCCCTTCACCTCTGTGTCTGTCTTGTTTGTTCTTTCTCTTGATTCATGTCCTGGGAGCATCCTGAGCGAGAGTGTGTGGGCTACAAGCTGTGTTTAGAATCTGTGTGTTCAGGTTTATTTTCTTTTCTCTTTTCTTCTTTTTATTTTTTTCCTGTTCTTTTTTTTTTTTTTTTTTTTTGGTGGGGTTTTTGCTATAGGGTACGTGCGTTCGCCAGAAAGACAGAGAGAGACAGAGAGACAGAAAGTGAGAAATCACCCCCCAGGGGGTATGGCCACACCGCAATCCCTTCTCCTCCATTCTCCTCTTGGGATCTTGGGCACGCACGCACACGCACCCAGAGTGAGTTTAAGCCACCGGGTCCAGGACTCTAACTGTGATTGACTACATGGGAGTTCAGCAACATAGCCATTACGCTAACTGCTGGTCCCCTTTTTTTCCTGTTCATTATTTGTCTTTCTTTTCTCTTTTTAGTTTTTGCTATAAAGCATGTACACTCACCAGGAGAGAGAGAGAAATCACTCCCTGGGGGCCGGTGACCTGTTGTAACCCCCCTTTCACCGCCCACCTCTCAGGATTCAGGACAGGCACACACATGTGCCCAGTGGGTTTCTCAAGGTGCGGGGTCTGGGATTCCAACGGTGCAGCTGGCCATGTGGGATCCAGCCACCCCACCCCCATCCCCCAGCTGGCCCACTGAAGTTTCTTCAGCACACCCTCACCTTTGTGGGCACAGGACCTCTGAGTCTGTGCCTTGGAGGAGAGACCCAACCGCCTTGCACTTTCCAGGGCTGTTGCTGAGAAGCAGGTGATTTTCCAGTTCTTGAGCCTTGAAAATGTCCTCCTGCCGAGCTGGAGCTGTGAGTCTTCTCCCCATTGCTAGTGTTCCAAGTTTCCTTCGTGAGGCCGCCTGGCCTTTCTGCTGTTTTTCCTTTTATTCTGCTGGAAAGTTGGACAATTTAACCAGGAAGGTTCTATCTTTCAGTTCAGGCTAAGTTTCATTTTTTCCTCTTTATTACTACCAGGTCGTTGGAAAAGTCATGATACATTTTTGCCTAGAAAGACATAGAAATGTCATGGCTTTCCTGATGACCCAGTACCCATTTCCTCACGGTGGTGTTCTCTGCTGAGTGTCTCCTTGCAGGGAACGTTGAACCTCCTGAACTGAGCCGCTAATTCGTTTCCTTTGTACTCCTTTCTTCCAGCCTCCAGTCTCTCCTGTAGTTCTCTGGGAGACGTCCTCAATTTCATCTTCTGTTTCTTCTGTTGAGTTTTTTTTTTTTTTTGAGAGGTTTTTGCTATAGGGCACATGTGCTCACCAGAGAGAGACAGAGACAGAAAGACAGAAAGCAAGAAATCACCCCTGGGGGGATGGCCACGCCACAATCCCTTCTTCTCCATTCTCCTCTCGGGATCTTGGGCACGCACGCACACTTACCTGGCGTGAGTTTAAGCCACTGGGTCTGGGACTCGAACTGTGGTCGACTATGTGGGAGTTCAGCGACATAGCCATTACGCTAACTGCTGGTCCCTCTGTTGAGTTTTTTAAACCTCCTGCACCGAATACCCGTGGGTGAGAGCCCCCCACTCCCTTGTTCTCACCTTGTCCGTACTCTCCCCAGCCTTCCCGCGGGTCCGTCCTCGCCTCTCTGCTGGCCTTGGTGACATCTCCACCATCTGAGTGAGTGCGGGTCAAGCTGTGCTACTTCCTGTTGTTTCGTGTCTCTTAAGCTTGGACTCTCTTCACATGCCTGACAATCATGTCTGTGTCGTGGTCTTGTTTGTGATGAATTTACGTGTTTCTTGTGTGTCTTCTCACTGCTCCTCAAGCCCAGATGACGAAGATGGATCCTCTTCTATTGGGTCTTCACCATGCTCCCAGCCTGGCACATAGCAGGTGCTCAAGAAATCTTTGTTGAATGAATGGGCGAATGAATGTGGGGCCTTGGGCTGTGGGTGGGGCAGTGATGGCCCCTCCGAGTCTGATTTCTTGGGACTCTTAAGAAAGTGACAACATGACCCCCAGCCCGAGGGTAGGGTACCTGCACTCCTCATTCCCCCCGGGGCCACCTGAAACAAGCTCAGACGTACCTCTGGAAGGCAGGGACAGCCTGAGCTGCTATTGCTGGCACTGGGACCTTGGCTCAGCCTCTGGCCCTCCCACGGTGTGGGTGTGGGATGGAGAGGAAGCTGATGCTCAGGGCCGGCCCTCACCTCTGCAACCTCCTCCCACTACACTTTGCTGCTAGGAGCCCACTGGGGGAGATGAGGGAGCCCAGGGGGGTGCTGGCGGGCCATCAGAGTCTGCTAGCTGGGAGAAAAAGGTGAAAGAGGACAGCTGAGGAAGCCGGCCTGGGGATGTTGTGGAGTTCGAGTTCCTGGACTTGCTGGTAGATTGGTAGGCCGGAGCCCTCGCTAAGAGCCTATCTGTTGGGCCTATGACAGGAAGAGGGGAAGGCAGGCTTTCTGGGGTCACTTTGTTGCATTGCCCTTTGTTTCCTTTGGAGATCAATATCTGAAGTCGTTTGGCTGATCTGGTTGTGCAAGGAGCCCGCCTTATCCTGCCCTGGGGGAGTAGCGGCTCTAAGTGGGGCCTCTGTGCCCCTTCCAGGCCCAGGGGTTTCCAGCACTAGCTTTGCCTTTCTAGGAACCTAAATGGACTTGTGGGCTGAGGGACTCCCCTCCGTTCAAACCTCAGTCTCTCCATCCATAAATTGAGAAAAGCAGAATTGACCTCGCGAGGTTGCGTTAGAGACCAGTAACGAAATAGGCTGACTGCTTTGACCAGGCCTGGAGACCACAGAATGATCACTGACCTGCAGCTGAGCATCCTTGGGGCAGTGGTGACCAGGTGAGCACTCAGAGGATGACAGGGGAGGAAACACAGGTGTTTGAAAGGGGAGCCCATGGCTGTCATGGTGTGTATGACTTCTGGAGTTCTCTATTCCAGGGATTCTGATGCTTCGACCTTGGGGACCGTGGCGAGCTCTCAGGCGGCAAGCTCTTTTTGGAGCCTGGCTCCCTTGAGGGCATGGCCCTGTGTCCTGCCCAGCATGGCACCAATGGGAGACTCTATGGGAGGAGCCAGGGAGCCTCCCAGGCAGGGCTCACCAGCGCGGGGTTCAGGCCTTGCGAAGAGGCGTTGGAAGCAGACTGGCATTTCTCAAGCCACCCTGGGCTCAGCGCAGCCCTTGTGCCTGCTGCCCCTGAGATCTAGGAGTCACCATTCCAGCTCCTGTGGGGAAAGCAGTGTGTGCACACCAGCCAGGGCTGTGCAGATAGGCACCCTCCTTCAGGGCTCTCCACCTAGTCGTCTGAGAGCCAGCTGAGTAAGGAACGAGAGGGTCAGGCGGCTGCTCTCTTCCGCCCACACCACTCCTCATCTTTGGAGGGCTCAGCCCTACCCTGCCTGTCCAACTCAGGCTGCAAGCCACCCCCAGGCACTGCAGGAGCTGGGGCCTAGGCCACACCTGCTCTGCAAAGTGCTTTTTTGGAGAGCGGATGGGCAGGCAGCATGGCACCAGGGTGAGGGACCCATCCCAATGAGGCCGGCAGTATACATTTGCCGTATCTTTATTGCACTTTTACCACATTGCAAACTATTCCACAAAAATGCTGCAAAGGTGGACCTGCTGTGCACACAGCAGACCCTGTAGGATGTATTTACACCAATGTCCAGAGCAGTCGGAGGACGTGCGGCACCCCTGCCCGGCGACGGACACACAGAATATCTGGTCATTCATATCCTTCCAAGAGCCATGTTCAAGCCTTTGTCTGTAAGCCGACATACAGGCCAGGATGTCCCCAGAGAGCGTCCTCCTGTCTTCAGATGAGACTCTCAGTCCTGTAAATGCTGAGGCCCCAGGAAGGGGGAAAAATAGTTTTTATTTTAAATTAGGTCCAGAGCACGAGAGCACTTAACGGGTGAACCAGGCCGAGAGGGGCCCCACGGAAGCAGTGGGGAGCACGGTCCTCGCGTTGACTCGGTGGGTGGTCTGTGGTCTGTGTATGTGTCTCTCTATTTACATACAGATATATAAATACAAAATAGTAAATAAAGGCTTCCTTTTCTTACAAAAAGGATGAAATGCCTCTGCCTCGTCCGTGAGCATAAAGCGTTTCCTTTCCAGCCTTTTCTGGTCTCCGGAACTAACAGAGGGTGTCCTAGTAGAGCCACCACCGTGGAACTGCGGTTCACCGAGGCGGGGACAACCCGTCCTGACTCTGAATTCACTGAATTCACGACGTGGCGCGTGCGAGGCTCCTCCTCCTTCCTCGCGGGCAGAGTGGGCTGCCGGGAGGGCACTACCTCTCGGTGGCGGCTCTGTGCTCAGTGTCCAGGTCGTCCTCCACCACGCTGCGGAGCCCGTCCTTCTCAATGCAGTCCCGGATGGCCTGCAGCACGATGCGGAGCCGCCGGTCCAGGGCCTCCAGGTGTGGCCGGAACAGGATGGGCGCCACCTTGTCCCGCTGCAGAGACTCGGCCATCAGCAGGCTCAGCTTGTACTCCTCCTTGGCCAGGAGCTGCAGCCGCAGGTAGGTAGACTTCCTGATCCTGGAGGGAGAGGGAGAGACAGGCCGGGTCTCTGCATGAGAGAGTTGAAAACCAGGGCAGGGCAGCATTGTGGCTGCTGAGGTGGTGAAGACTCAGACGGAGAGGAATGGGGGGAGAGAGAGGTCCGAGGTCATATCCTCCCAGCTGCTGAGCCTTGTGACCCTGGGAAGATCCCTAACCTGCTCAGGCTCTTCTCATCTGCATAACGGAGGAGGGCCCTGCCTTTCAGGGACAGGGTGGCAGGTATAAGGCCCCAGTGAGGAGGAGAGCCCCTCACCTAGGACACCTTCCCCGACTGGGCTCGGCACATCTGTGTGGGCCGGTAGATTCTGAGATGCTTCCTTGGAGACTCCAAACTAATGACCTCAAGCCTGTGTTTGACACCAACCACAAAACGGGGAAGAGACCCGGAGAAGATGGCAGAGGGAAGGATCTTTATGTCCAAGCCGGTAATCTGCTCTGGACCTCCATGGCTTCCTCTGTAAAGTGGGCTGTTCTGGTGGCAAGGAGACAAGTCCTGTGATGGGCTTTGGGCCCCTAGATCTCAAACTGGACAGGCGAGAGGGCAGTGGACAGGAAGAGGCACGTGAGCTGCTGTGCAGTGGGGGTGAGAGTGTGGGTCGAATTTGGGGCTGTGGACGCCCAACTGCTCTTGGTGTTACAGCCAGGGTGGGGGCGGGAAGGTTCTGGCCTAATCCATCTCCTGCTTGGTGATGGGGCGGGGCTCGCGGGCAAGGGAGAGAGGAGAGGAGCCAGGTTCCTTCGGCAGAGGTGAGGCGTACCTGCAGCACTGCTGTAAAGGCACCAGAATGGAAAGCTCGTCGTGCGAGTACTTCCCAAACCTGCCAGAGAAAAGCGGAAACGTCAGGGGCCACGTGCAGAAGTGCCTCTCTGGCTGCTGGGCTGCAGAGGCCGGGCAGGGTGTTCAGCCCCAGCTTGGACCCAGACTCAGATGCGGGGGCCAGCCATCGTCAGGGCCATGAAGGGTCCCAAGCAGCTGTGCAGAGCTGGCACAGGGGAGGGTCAGCCTGTGCTCTTACTGGAGCACACATGACCCCCACGCATACGTGACTCGGGTGCCCAAAGCCGAGTCTCTAAGGCACCTGGGCACCGGCAGCTTTCATCTGTTTGGACTGGACACTCTCCTGCCCGAATTACTCACTTCCCGGTGTTGTTAATCAGGGGTCACCTCTTACGGTTGACCAGGGTTTGCTGACAGGCCAGCCATGGCTGCAAGCAGGGCATGGGAACAGACTGTCCCCGGCCAGCTGGCTCAGGCCCTGCGTGGGGGCGGAGGCCCCATCTGCTCATCAAGGCTCTGCTCTTCCTGGCTAGCAGCCTCTCTGGGCCTCAGTTTCCCCGAGGTAACAAGAAATACAATAGATATCGATATCCCCCAGAGGGTGACTGTGAGAATGCCAAGAAACGACTCCCATCATAAACCCAGCACGCCGCAGCGGTTCCACTCCTGGGGACAGCCCGTCTCCCTGATGATGGGCGCCCTGTAGTCACCCCTGGAGGAAGGCCTGCACCGGCACCCTCCGTCTCCCACAGAGAGGGGCCCTTGTGGAGGGCCGTATCCTTCCTGGGTCTCGGCTGGGCGCCAGGCGGGTGGGTGGGGGAGGGCCTGCCCCTCTGGGCCCACAGGAGTAAGAACAGACGCACCCTCTTCCGTTGTCTAAGTGGATAATAAACGTTTCATTTCCAAACTTCTCAAAAGTCTCATAGTGGTGGCGGTCCATGTTTCCTGTGGAGACAAACAAAAATAGCTCCTGCTCGCCACAGGCCTGGCGGTGGAGTACGGAGGCTCTGCCCTCTACAGAGCAGCATCTTCCCTCCCTCTCCTGGGCAGCCATGACCGAGTTAGAGTGAACTCTGGCTCTCCCCATACCTCTGGGGCTGGGGCTTCACCAGCACCTCCACCATGGCGCTCTGGGCATTGCCCGGTCGGTGAAGGTGGGCAGGACCTGGGACCTACACTGTGTGGCCACATGGCCTGCCAGACGTACCCATGAGGAAATCGAACAAGGTCATGTCCATGATGTCTAGGACCCGGTGGCCACTGTCATAGGGCGGCGTCTGCTTTACTTCCTCGCAGTAGTCAGGGTCCACTTCCCACCTGCAGGGGAGCCAGTGTAAGAAAGACCGTGCCCCTTCCCTGTACAGCAGGCAGACCCAAGGCAAATTCTGGGGGTGCCCAGCTTGGCACAGCGGAGGTGGTGGATTTATACTGCAGCAAGGAGGACTTGAACTAGAGAACAAACTGTCTGCAGATGGACCCAGCATTTTATGAGGCTGTATTAATAGGGGTATAGGGCTGGGAGGTGATCAAGCCACTGTACCTACCCTAGACTGACCATGTGTGGAGGCTACCATCACTTCTGGGTACCATTTTGGAGAGTGACTGCTAAGGATCATTGTTATGGCTGGACATCACACTCACAAAAACATCTTGGTGGCTGAAATAACAGGGGAGGTTCTCCTATATGAAGGATAAGAGGGGGAGTGGACGCTGAGTTCAAAAGCTGACAGGTTGTGTTTTTTGTTTGGTTGGTTGATACATTTTTTAAGAGAGATTTGTGCTATAGGGCACATGCACTCACCAGAGAGACAGAGAGAGACAGAGAGACAGAAAGAAATCACCCCCTAGGGGGGATGGCCACATCGCAATCCCTTCTCCTCCATTCTCCTCCTGGGATTCTGGGCACGTGCACACACATGCCCCAGTATGAGGTTCAAGCTGCTGGGTCTAGGACTCGAACTGTGGTGGACTACATGGGAGTTCAGCAACGTAACCATTATGCCATCTGCTGGTCCCAACAGGTTATGTTTTAAGGAACCCTAGCAGTGTACTAGCACCACTGGGCAGGAGGATGCCTCTAATTCTCAAAATGAGGAAGCCCTTAGGTTAGCTCAGCACACAGGCCGGTAGTAGCAGAGCTGGGTTTGCGCCCCCTCCCGGCATCTCTTACTGGCCCTGTGACCACTGATGACCTGATACCCCTCCCAGGTCCATTTCTCAGCTGCCAATTGGACAGAAGCTGGTCTCCCTGAGTCCCCCTGAGAGTCAGCATAAGGTGGGTGCTGATCTGGCCCAGTATCTGCTCCCACTCACTCTGCCTTCTTGCGCTTGTGGTAGGAGCGCCGCCAGGGGTTCCGCCATGTCTTCCTCTTGGCCAGCGACAGGTCTGGAAGGAAGGCTGCCAGTGACCCTTCAATTTGATCTGGCTTCCCGCACAGAGCATGCTCCGTGGAGCAGTAGTAGGAGCACTCCCCGTAGAAGCAGATGTTGTTGGCTGATGAGAGAGGACCAGATGGCCGGTTACCTGGAGCCACTCAGAGCAAGTCCCCTAATGAGGTCCCCTCCTTGGAATTTCAGTCCCTGCCAGCCCCGTCCACACACTTCATCCCACGATCCTCCCAGGGCTTTGCTGGCCTCCACTTGGTGCTTCTCAGGGGCAGGACTCACATCAACCCAACCAACCACCTCTGACCTCCACATTGTAGAAAACAGAGCCCCATGGAACTGACCTCTCAAGGCCACTGGGTCAGAGCTAGAACTTGAACTACCTTCTTTCTACTCACTCTAAATGAAGAACATCTACAACTCAGTAATCAAAAGACAAAAATAACCCAATTAATAAATGGGCAAAGGTCTGGGATGCACATTTCTCCAAAGAAAACACACAAATGGCCAACAAGCTCGTGAAAAGGTCACCAGGGAAATGCAAATCAAATCCATATGAGACAATGCCTCCCTACTTAATAGGATGGTTTTGAGCAAAAGACCAGATAATAGCAAGTGTTGACAAGGATATGGAGAAACTGGAACCTTTATCCACTGCTGGTCAGAATGTAAAATGGCACAGCCACTGTGGAAAACCTTCTGACAGTTCCTCAAATTGTTAAACATATAGTTACCATGTGACCCAGCAATTCTACTCCTAGGTATATACCCAACAAAAATGGAAACATATTTCCACACAAAAACTCATACCCGAATGCCATAGCAGCACCACTCACAATAGCTACAATTAAAAATAAATAAATAAATAAATAAACATCCTAAGTGTCCATCAACAGATGACTGGAAAAACAAAATGCAGTATATCTACACACTGGACTACTATTCGACCACAAAATATCACACATGGTGGGAACCAACAGTTAGCGTAATGGCTATGTCGCTGGACTCCCACGTAGTCGACCGCGGTTCGCATCCCGGACCCGGTGGCTTAAGACTCTTGGGCTGTTGTGTGTGTGTGCCCAAGATCCCAAGAGGAGAATGGAGGAGAAGGGATTGTGGCGTGACCATCCCCCCTGGGGGGTGATTTCTTGCTTTCTGTCTCTATGCCTCTCTCTATCTGTCTGGCGAGCGCACGCGCCCTGTAGCGAAAACCTCTCCAAAAAAAAAAAAATCGCACATGGTGTAAGAAGCCAGAAGCAAAAGGTCACACATTGTGTGATTCCATTTCCATGAAATGTCAGGAGGAGGCAAACCTAGAGAGACAGAAAGCAGATGAGTGGTTGCAGGGAGCTGGGAGGAGAGGAGAGTTCCCAGCGACTGCTAACAGGTATGGGGTTTCTTTGGGAGTGAAGAAAACATCCTGGATTGGATAGTGGTGATGGCTGCACCACACTGTAGAAATGCTAAAAATCCACTGATTTGTACTCTTTACAATGGTGAATTTTATGGTACGTGAATTATATCTCAATAAAAAGGTATAATCTTGGATATGCATGCCCTGTGCCCTGGTCAGCAAGCATCTGTGGCTCACTAGTTACTGCTGGAGACCTTGACTGACTTCAGGCTTGAAGGACAGCTCTATTGATAGGTTTATTTACGGACTTAATCCATATTTTCACATTCTATTTGTTTAGTAGAAAAACCCTTAAAAGCCTGGAGTTGTAGAAGCAAGGCAAGGAAGCAGTCTTTGGTGAAGCCAGAGCCCTGAACCTTGCTCACATTTCCTTCCCCTTCATGTGCACAGCCGATGTCCCAGATAAGGCCTCCCCCATGAGCCACAGGGCCAGGCTGAGATTCCCAGGACCTTTCCAGAGCTCCTGGAGCCTTCAGGCCACAGGATTAAACTCCCTGTTGAATTATTATAGAGTGCGGGCTTGGCCCAATAGGTGGCGTGATGGTTAAAGTTCGAGTCCTGAACCTGACTGCTTGCTTTCTCACTTTCCTTCTCTCTCTCTCTCTCTCTCTCTTTCTCTCTCATGAGCACATGTGCCCTATGGCAAAATTTAAAGCAATAATAATAAATGCAATTAAATAAATAAATAATTCTTACAAAAGCAAGCAAGCAAGCAAGCAGGCTCACAGGATGTGCAGCCACTCCAGGCTGGCACATTCTCAAAGTAAGCTGAGGTCCAGAGAGGGGAGGGGCGGTCAGCACAGGTCCCCCTGGTCCCCATTCCCACCGCACCCCCTGGGTACCCAGCCTGGCTCTGGTTGACCCCAGTCTGGTCGTCTGCCTCTGCTCCTCCCTCCCCTCCCCTCCTCACACCAGAGCCTGCGAGGGATAATGACTATAAGGAATGATCAAAGGAAGATCTGCCTGCACCTGCCTGCGTGGTGATAGTTTAATCAACAGCCACGGTCAGACAATGCAGCCGCAGGGGAGGCAAAAGCTCCATTTCCAGGGGAAATCTTTATCCGATCTCCCATTGGCTGGAGCCATGAAATTCGTTCACTATAATAGCCTCCCTGTCCTCACCTAAGCTGTCTGAGATGGTATCACGTTAAAGAAGAAAGGTATTTCACGGCTCACTGCTTTGTCCTCATCAGAGATCCCAATCTGGTTTTAAAGGGACATCCGGGTTGGGGCTGGGGTTGGGATTGGAAGGGAGGCTCTGAAAGCCAATGGTCTCTTTCCAGGTGACCTCAGGTTAGGCTCTGCACCTCTCTGTGCCTCTGCTCTCTCACCTGTGAAGTTTTGTGGAGGAGGAGGTGCAGTCACAGCAGTGCCTGCATCATGGCTGAGTATTAAACAAGGCCCCGAGTGAGGCCGGCAGAGGTGAGCTATTAATATGGAGGAAGGTTACTTTTGAGGAGAAGGAAACATGAATCCTTTTTCATTTTGGTAATACTGAGACAGACAACTGGGAGAAAGCCAGGGTCCCAGCCTCCCCAGGTTCCCAGGGACCACCTCCACCACTCACCTAGAAAAGGGCCCTGGTCAGTAACCTGCAGTGGGAGGGGAACCTGGTCTCCAGTTGGAGCTGGCAAAGGTCTGGCTTTCTGCAGGGACCAAGGTCCCTTCATGCAGAGGGTCTACAAACAGTCCTACCTCTGAGTGTTTCAGGAGTTAATCCAGCAGAAAGGTGAGTCTCACAGGAAGAATATTTGTCACTGGAGAGCTCTAAATGTGGTGACTGTGTCACAAAATGCTGTGAAAGTCACTGGGCCATGCTGCTATTTAGGGGTGGCAGCCCTAGACATTGGCTGAGGACCACCTTTGGAAGCCCCTCTCTCCCTCAAAGGGTATGTAAACTGGGCATAAAGTGAACAGATTCCCAATGACCACCCAGCCAAGCCAAGCCAATGTAACAGGGAAAAGAACCAATTTAACAATGGGCAAAGCCAGTCTCTGCTGTGGGGAGCATGGCTGCCAGGGCCTAGAGGCTTCAGGGGCTGCTCACATGCAGTCCGTTCTGGGGGAGCCCTGGATAGGGGCACTCACCTCGCAGAAAGTCCTGGAGCCTTGCACAGATGATCTATGCACCTTTCGGGTTGTATGGGACATGTTGATAGAAAGTAACAGAAAAAGTAAAGGAGTGTGTTTGCTGAGTGTTTGGGTTCTGACCCTGGTCCTGTCTCTAGGAGAGCTGTGTGGCATTGGGGCACTGAATTGCCCTCTCTGAAGGTCACTTCCAGAATCCCAACACCATGCAGAGGGCAAGAGCTATAGCATAAGGCCTGTCTGGGGCTCACAGAAGGGCTCCAGCTCAACCTGGCTTCTTTCTCCCCAACCCAAGTCACCCATCTTCCTACTAATCACTGGCCCAGTGCTGAGAACAGCCTGGAAGGTCACCTTCACCTCTCATCCCACTGGCTGGGTAGACTTTCCCTTCTTTAGTCATCAGGAGAGTGACTGAGGCCCAGGGCAAGAGGGCTCTCTGCAGTGCACGTGCAGCTGGTCCTAGAGGAGCTTGCACAGGGCTAAGTGTGCTCTGCTCTCCAGCGATGCATCCATGGCTGTTCTGGCATTGGGCTGGGTGAGAAGTGCAAGCAAAGCTAAAACAATACAAATGATCCGAACAGGTCTCATTTTCTAAAATGAGATCAAAGCTGGCTCCCAAGCCCCTGGTGCTTCAGAGAAAACCAAACATTCCCAAAGGCTTTCAGAAGAAATCTGGCCGACAGAGCAGAGAGATGGAGTGGAGACAGTCGGGGTCGAGGAGGATGTGCTCAGAAGTAACCAGTGAAGCTGGCAGCTCCGGCCCGTCTGCGCAGAGATTTTAAGAGCAGGGATCACCCAGGTGAGCCTGAGCCAAGCTCACTTCCCGGACGGCCAAGGAAGACTCTTGGGATTTTATGGGAGTTGATTGATTGACCTGAGTCTAGCCTAGAGGATGCAGTCAAGAACTAGAAAGTGGGAATGGGAGGTGGGTCTGCCAAGACAGCACCAGAGCGACAGCTCAGCTCAGGTGTGAGGGAAGAGAGTTCAGTGGTGACCAAGTGGCAGTCATTAGCAGTATCACGATGGGAGCTCATAGAACACACGGGGCCACTGCAGCACCTAACTGCTGAAGACAGGAGCTCCTAACATCCACCACAATGAGACCTGGGAGTGCCTTAGCTGGCCTGCCTGGACTAATAATCAGCTCAGTCTTTTGTTTGTAAAAAAAACACAAAACAGGGATCAGCAGATGGTGTAATGGCTACATTGCTAGACTCCCACATGGCCGACTGTGGTTCAAGTCCTGGACCCAGCAGCTTCAAACGCACACCGGGCACATGTGTGTGCATGCCCAAAATCCTGAGAGGAGAATGGAGAAGAGACTGTGGCATGACCACGCCCCCTGGGGGATGATTTCCTCATTTTCTGTCTCTTTCTCTGGTGAGCACAGGAGCCCTAGAGCAAAATCTCTCTAGCCCAAACCAGGGCTGCCATCTCTAGGATGCTGGTGGCCTTGTGAGCGACTTGTTAGTCATTAGAAGGGCTGCCATGGAGTCAGTCCCCTTTGTGTCCCAAGACATAAAACTCAATAAAGAAACTTCTAGGTTTGTTCTGTTTCCTGAGTTTGTTCTTTCTTTCTTTCTTTCTTTCTTTCTTTCTTTCTTTCTTTCTTTCTTTCTTGAGGTTTTTGCTATAGGATGTGTGTGCTCACCAGAGAGACAAAGAAGAAACAGAGAAACAGAAAGTGAGAAATTACTCCCCAAGGGAGATGGCCATGCCACAAAGCCACCAGGCCTGGGAATCAAATCGCGGTCGACCATGTGGGAGTCCAGCTACATAACCATTACACCATCTGCTGTTCCCTGTTTCCTGAGTGTTCAAATCTCAGTTCTTTCATTTCATTTTGGGCAAATTACTTAATCCCAACTGCACAATGCCCACCGAGGCGAATGGATAAACTAAACACAGAACATCCATCCAACAGTCTCCAATAGGACAGTACTCAGAAATAAGAAGAGGCAAAGTGTAGACACAACGTCACTGCATCTCTAAGTCATGCCGTTGAGCCCAAGAAGCCAAACGAACAAGCTGGAAGCCTCCAGTTACAATAAAACAGCATAGGCTGAAAGCAGAGGAAAGGCTGGCTCCAGAGGGGGATGGGGGAGACTTGGGGGGACTTGAGGAGACTTGGGGGCTGGGTTCTCATTCTCTGTATACAATGTGTAATTAAAACATATCAACCTATGCACTTCAGTATGTGCCATTTACTCAATAAAACCCTCCGTGATGGGAATGAGAAAGCAATCCACCCCCCCCAGGCCTGGCCTTAAGAACGAAATGAAGATTCAGACAGAAAGTTCCCAGAGCAAGGCCTGCCACCTGCATGTGCTCAGGGATGCTCCCCAGCTTGGACGGAGAGGTTCCTGGTGGCCACCGCACTGGCAGGAGGTAGGGAGCACAGTCCTATCCTGGCCCTGTGTGTGGGACTTCCTGACAGGGCCTCCCACTGCTCCTGCCCAGCCTGTCGAGGGGGAGCCATCTACCCCGGGTTCATCTGCAGGTGCTTAGCCCTGTGCTGCCACTGCCTGGATGCCAAGCCCATGTTTGGAAATCCAGAGAAGGGGGTCTGTTTGAAAATGCAAAGGATCTAGTCTAAGTTGGAAGAAGGTCAGTGATTGCAAAACTGGATTGTGGGCACCAGGGGATGAGAATAAGGATGCCATTCTCTTAATTTTCTGAACCTTTGAAGTCTGTCACACTAAGAATTGCAATAAAAGTTGTGAAAAGGAAAGGATGGGATGCAGCCAATGATCAACCAAGCACGTGGCAGTTCGGCCATCGTGGTGGTGTGTGGTGTATACAGATGAACATGAAGGTGACCAGTGGCTGTGGGCAGTGGGGGCAGGAGACACTGGCTGAATGGTGGCGTTGCCGGGGAAGCTGAGGTTGGAAAGGAAGAGTTCAGGGTCGACCTCCAAATCCCCAAGAGGCTGAGAGGAGCAGAAGCTCAGATGAGCCCCGTGGGATCCCAGGTCAGGAGGCAGGTTTCAGCCCTTTCTAAAGCAGGACCTCTCTAACAGCTCATGGTGTCCAAACACAGGCCAAATTACCCGTGAGCTGAGGATCTCATGGTCACTGGGACTGTGTGAGCCGTGGACGTAAAGACTGGCTGAGAAGCTCTTAAAGGCCTTTCTAACACACAGGCTCTTATTCAGCCCCTTGGTTTCTAGTCAGGTGAGCCTGGCACTGACGGATCAGGGAACAGGAAACATTTTTTCTGCCTCTTTGGAATTTCTGCCCTACTTTTCTCTTATTAATAGGGTCTGAAAGGAAGAAACCATTTGAGGACCTCAATGAGCACTGGCTGATGAAATGGAGCTTAATTAAATCACGGATTCATGGACCTCAGTTCTGACAAATTTATGAATGCAGTTAAGAAAAAGTGCAGAGTATATCGATCTGAAACATCTGCAAAAATGAGCTTTTAGGTCAGGCTTTTATATGCAGCAATCTTAAGGCACAGCTAACCAAGGGCCTTAATTGGATTTTATCTGCATGAGTTAAATAGAGAGGGGGAAAGAACATGGCCAAGGGATTCCTGCAGTGTGAGACACACAAGCAGAAGGTCTCTCTCCTCGGTGGGGCCCACACGTTGCCCTGCCCAGCATCACCTGGACCACTTATGCACCTTCAGGAAAGCGATGTACGTGACAAGGTCATGGAGAGGTGGGAGGGGCTTCTCCAGAGCTCAAGCTTAAGATGTACCACGTAGAGTCTTAAAGATATTTAAGCACTTCAGCACCCGAGCATGCATACACACACATGGATGCACATATTTTCACCTGATAAGCAGGGTTTTCTGTGCTAACCCTCAAGAGGCACTGGGGATTGGTGGAGCCACTGCTCATGGTCTAGCTGCTTAGTCGAGAAACGGGAGGCCACTTGGCCCCTGTCACTGTGCAAGGGTCCTGCTGAGGTGCTCTTACATCTAAGGAGGAGTTCTGAGAACAAGGTCTTCCCTACCTGGGCTATCTGGGGAAGGATTCTTGGAGAGGCTGACGGTTTCTCAGAGTGAGTTCCTTTTGCCTTTTGAAATAAGCAAAGGATAGGAATAGCCTCCCTGTCAGTGTAGGGGACTGGTTAAATTTTGGGCAGCTGTTCAATGTGCAGTGCTGATCAGTATCGGTGGGTGTAGACAGGTGCACCATACACCCCTAAGTGAAAAGAGCAGGCTGAAGAACAGTATTCTACAACCAAGTTCAAGGTCGCCCTGTGAGGGTGGGCCTCCTGTGCAAGGCTACCTGGAGAGATGAAGAAGGTACGCCACAGCTTCTTATCTCGTGTGACATCCCGGATCTCCTTAGTCATGTTGACCATCCTGCCAGCCACGGGGGGAACTCGGCGGAAGTCCAGGATCCTGGCAAGAAAGAGGCAGGAAAGGGGTCCTTACCTTCCATGGCTTGGTTTCAGCAATCCCCAGCAGCTGTGCAGTGATCACACTTCCCTCTGCCTTTGTTTAAACTCAACTTTAGGGCCTGGGACCCTCTGGGAGATTGTCAGGCTCAGGGCTGAAGCTGACAATGAATCACGTACTGGCATCGGCCTGCCAAGTGCCCAGATAACTAAAACATGCTCTCATTCCGGGGCTAAATTTGAAGCAAAATTAAATTAAATTAACCATGTTCAATGGAACTCTTCTGAACTGCACTGCCTGTGCTGCCCCTGCTTAATTAAACAGAGAATGCCGGGTGTCA